AATGACATTTTCAAGTTCTCTTCCTTTTTTCTTCCAGTGCAGTACTGAAGTTGTTGACAGGTAAGGAATTGCCAGGAGATGAACTGACATTATAAATGTCAGAGGTCAGTACAGGTGTAGGAAAAAGAGAAGCTGCCAAGAAAGCAAGCTAACATTTTTGTGGAAACATTCCAATTATATCTTTGTTGAGCACAACAGTCCAGTTGCTGGTCTGCTCATGCTTTCAAAACTAGAAATAATAAAGGAAATTTGAAAAGGTTACACAATTGGCAAAACTGTGTAATATGCCTTGCCTAAAGGGAATACTTCCATCTATTTAAAAAGTTACTGTCCTAGTTTAAAAAGAAGATTGTGCCCTAATAAATTATCTCTTGGAGTATCTCCATATTCTTCTGGAATAGCACAAAATGAAGCCCCAGGCTCGCCTCGCAAGGCAAGAAGTGTCACGAAATGACACTCATTAAACAATGCATTCACTTACTGCAAATGTTGCACAATGTTAATTTAGAATTACAAAACTAGAAATGCTAAGCTTTAAACAAGTTGGCTACGTCTACACTGGCCCCTTTTCCGGAAGGGGCATGTAAATTTCACGAGTCGTCGTAGGGAAATCCGCGGGGGATTTAAATATCCCCCGTGGCATTTAAATAAAAATGTCCGCCGCTTTTTTCCGGCTTTTAAAAAAAGGGCACTTTTTCCGGAGGATCGGGGCCAGTCTAGACGCTCTTTTCCGGCTTTTTTAAAAGCCGGAAAAAAGCGGCGGACATTTTTATTTAAATGCCACGGGGGATATTTAAATCCCCCGCGGATTTCCCTACGACGACTCGTGAAATTTACATGCCCCTTCCGGAAAAGGGGCCAGTGTAGACGTAGCCGTTGTGTGTCTTACAAGCTACATTGCTTTAAATATTTTGAGATCAAAACAATGAAAGGTCAACTTCTTACAATGTAGATCTAAAACTATCTCTCCACTCCCTTTTGTTTCTTTAATTTAAGGTTTAAATTCTTTCGCACAAAATAATGTATTTTTTTGAAATGGTTGTAGAATCATTCACAGGAAATGTCTTTTATTAAAAGGAGAACTTATTGCAAGTTTCATTTACAGTAGAACAGAAATGGATGATGAGCAGAATTAGCAGTTTTTTGAAACTCAGTGTGTTAAATTTCTCATAGAAGCAAGGTTATAGAATGTGGCTTTGCATTGGGTTCTCAAAAAATGGGTGGGATTTTCACTCTTCTAAATGTCAGGGAATTACAAGTTATTATATGAGCACAAGGCAGATATCTTACAAACTGGGCTCTGATTTTGCAGCCCTCATTCACATGATTGCTTCCAGTGAGCCCTAGTCTTTATTTGTCTGTATATTTACACTGTGCTCATCAGCATGGGATTTGAGTGCCCAATATTGCATGTCCTATTCGTGAGTGCAACTCCTGTTTACCACAATTTGGAAACTGCATCTAAATATGAACCTGATCTTGAAACCTCTTATCCACATCAGTAGTCTTTCTCAGGCAGTCACACAGAGGTATACCTCAGGATGTGATCCTGTAAGATTATTGGCATATCCTATGAGTATTACAGACTAGAGCATCTTCAGTTCCTGAGACCCCGTGACCTTACCTCAGAATACTCTTCTGAATGACAGTTGCATGATCAAGCCATAGGAAGCCAAATAGAGGCAGACTTATTGGTGCTTATGAAATCAAGCAAAATTTTTCATTGCAAATATTTCATACAAAATTGTTTGAAAATTTTCTAATTTGCTGCAGGAAAATGTCTCCTCTCCCCATTTCTACATATAATTAGACTATGTGTTCATTGCTTGAGGAAATAGCTCTAATAAACAGTTGGACATTGTCAAAGGATTTACTACATCAAATAATTCTTTTCTTTCTTAGGCCCATTAATTAGGCTGGCTGCCCTAAAAGAGCTCACAATTTCCAAAATTATCAATCTTCTTATTTTTATATAATACCACTGGTATGGTAGAGTGCTTTACAGGCACATAGGAAGATGAGTTCTCTATCTTAATAACGTACTGCTTAAATAATAACATTTGAATCACAGAGAACAAGAGGATATTAGACCTTTAGTGTTATAAATGCTAAGCACTCCTTCTTCCTTTAAAATAACATCCAGATCTTTTTGTTTCTTTCTACCCCCTTCTGCATGTGTATTTCACAGCAAGAAGAACATGTGTGTGCTGTTTTTTCAATGCTGTGCCTATCTGCACTACTATAATAAAGATGCTGTGAATACAGTATTATACAGTGTGGTAAAAGTATGGACCACATTCTCACACTGATTGTCTGGCTATGCCAAAAGGAGAGGAGACATTCAATATGGGTTTAATCGGGCCACAACTTTATTATTAGATGTCTGGGACTACCTGGCAGATAACATGTACAGTGCAGGTAACCCTCCCTTGATTTCTCCCATAATTACCAGGGAGGGGGAAGTGCCTTTACTAGTTACCCCCTCCTTTTCCACCCAGGTCCCTCCAGTAGATCCATTGCCAGGATCTTACAATCCCATGGGGAGGGTGTGGCAGGAGCTTCAACCAACTCCCTCCTTTTTCCACAAAGATCCCTTAAGCAACTCCTTTGCCAGGACCTTTCTAACCATCACCCCTTCCCCTCTCCTCATAAGAGGGGTAAGATGGACTATAGTGATGGGGGGTGGCTCCATACCATACCAGTCATTGGAGTCCCTCAACTACCCCCAACTTGCTTAATTACTGAGCACCTTTCCATTAAGTCCTTTCCCCAAGACATTTATCCGTTACTATATGCCTTTTATGGAGTACCTGCACTGTACGCTTAAATAATGAGTTGTAACACAAGGCTTCCGCCCATCATGCTCTGCATGAACAGGGACCCATTCAAACTTGCTGTGAAGAAGATGAAAAAAACGTGCACCTAGGCCAATATGGAAAGAAGGAAAAATTCCTTCTCAGCTCCCCTCAGCGGGGAGGCTAGTGCAATGCTCACAGTACTCATAACCAATAACATGGTATATATGCTACCAGAATAGGGCAAGAGGATAGGTGTTGCCAATTCTGCATCTTGAATAAGAGGGGAGGGTCCTAGCAGAGGCTGACCTTTTAACCTCCCTCATTACTGGGAGATGAGTCAGCCTCCACATTGGCCTCCTTTCTAGCACTTTTATGTCTCCCCTCCCCTCCTCTAACTCTCCTCTTCTGGCCAGCCAGCCAAACAACCCCTCCCCCTCCCAGTAAGTCCACTTGAGGAAAAAAGTTCTGTTCAGTGAGACTGGTGGTAGACGTTCTTCCTATATGAACAAAATCAGTGGCAGTTCTAAATGGAAGTAGCATTCAAAAACAAACTTTTATATGACTGCACTACCATCTAGTGGCACAATAAGAGAATGTGTACTTCATTGTATTTTATTTTTAAAGATCAGCATCTTCATGACCCATTTATCCAACTATGGGAATGACCGCCTGGGGTTGTACACTTTTGTGAATCTAGCCAACTTTGTTGAAAGCTGGACCAATCTGAAACTGCAAACTCTGCCTCCAGTCCAGCTGGCTCACAAGTACTTTGAACTCTTTCCTGAGCAAAAGGACCCTCTCTGGCAGGTAGGTAAAAGAAACGATGGAGAGAGAATATTTTTGTCTTATTTGTGAATAATTTTGTTTTAACTTACCATCATACAAAAGAGTGATATTTTTGATAATTTCATAAATCACCTGCTGAATTTTAAAGATTAAAGTAATTATATGTTTGGAATTTTTCTCATTTTATTGTTGGCTGCACCTGATATTTACATATACAGTAAAGACTTTATTGTGTAATTTCTCTCCTAACTAATTACAAAATAATCCAACAGGAATAAAGCAATTTAAACATAATTTAAAAATAATTGAATTTTACTATGAAGGAAATTGTATTTCTTGGCAACTGCAGTAGCAGAGGAGTGTATCTGTCGTACTAAATGGAGAGAGAATTAAGGCTTATTGGTGTCTGGATGCTATTATAAAAAGCAGGACTATGTAGCACTTTAAAGACTAACAAGATGGTTTATTAGGTGATGAGCTTTCGTGGGCCAGACCCACTTCCTCAGATCAAATAGTGGAAGAAAATTCCTGTTTTTGTTTCAGCTACACGAGACTAACACGGCTACATTTCTATCACTAGATGCTATTATGATTGGCATACTAGAAATAGATTAAAAAGTAATTCATTAAAAAGTTGGGAACTGGCCAAGGAAGAACTGTACCAATACTGGGCCTAATTTTGTGATGGTATGAACTCCATTGACTTACTTATCCTTTACTTAAAAGTCAGCAAACTGAAAATAAGTACAGGCAGTCCCCGGGTTATGTACAAGATAGGGACTGTAGGTTTGTTCTTAAGTTGAATCTGTATGTAAGTCGGAACTGGCATCCAGATTCAGCCACTGCTGAAACTGACCGCCAGTTATACTGGGCCTAATTTTGTGATGGTATGAACTCCATTGACTTACTTATCCTTTACTTAAAAGTCAGCAAACTGAAAATAAGTACAGGCAGTCCCCGGGTTATGTACAAGATAGGGACTGTAGGTTTGTTCTTAAGTTGAATCTGTATGTAAGTCGGAACTGGCATCCAGATTCAGCCACTGCTGAAACTGACCGCCAGTT